TTATTTATTTATATTAGATATTTAGAATCTTATTTTATGTAGGAATATATAAAAAGATATTTCTGAAAATTGAATAGATTTTTTTTTCTTCGTTGTTACTTGTTCATAAAGAGTGTAAAAGTATCGTGTTAATGTTGTGTTGTACGTCAAGTCTGGCAGACTTTTATTTTTTTCACTTAGTGTAGCATGTGCAGCACTGTTTTCTAATAGTAAACAGTAAAAACGCATACCTTGTGTAAAATATAAACAAATGCATATCAGTTTGTAACATCTTTCGTTATTGAGTGAAATTTGTAATAATATATTTTCACTAGTCACCCGTGAAATGTGGAGTGAGATATGTACTGATTATGAAAATTTTCGTTTGACAAAAATAAACACCATGAAGCGAAATGAGTTTATATGAAATTATGTTAGTTAAGGAACTGTGCAAGTAATCTTAATTTAGATATTTTTAATCCTATCTTACAGATTGCCCTGACTGCGTATGTGGTTTTCCTGTAAGATATTGTGCAAACTTCTTCCCTCAGTGTTATTTTTATACTAATCAAACAATTTCCCTTTAACTCCCTTTCTGCTCTTAATCATGCTTTTATGTGACAGCACTAAGGTTTTAAGACATTAATAGTGAGTACACCTTGATTTACTTATGCATTGAAAAAAAAATGCATAAACTGGAACACAACGATAAAATATATTGGGGTTTATATCGAGTCTTTTTTCAAGTGAACTCACGTATATGTAGTTCCTCACATGTATAGCATATATATATTTATATCAGTTTTCTGAATTGCAATGTATAACATAATAGTCTTGGTTGTATTTAGAACTTTACCCGCTTTCTTCTACCAACCAAGTCAACAAAGATGATAGATAGTTCTCTCTGCAATCTCAGTAATTCTGAAGGGGAAAATCTTGTACATTTATTTTGAAGATTTTTATATATCAATTTTAGTCTTAATATAATGTCAAAGACTTACTTCATACATTTTCTGTTACCACGGAAACAGATAACCCTCATCACAAGTTTCAGTTTTTGTATTTAAATGCTTTGAAACCGTTCAAGATAACTGTTCATTTTTACACCTATTTAGCTAGTGGTATCGTTTGCTATAGGGAAGTTCTTCATTGAAAATACCTTTTCTGTTACCAAAGAAACAGAAACGCAAAATCACAAAGTTCAGTTTTCTTGATTCTCTTGAACAATTCAAGGTAATTACTCGTTACCGAAAACTTTGTTCTGGCATCAAGTTAGTACTGAGGAAGAAGTTCCCCATTTCAATACTTTATATGGAGCAATTAAAATAGAAATTTAATTTGTTGTTATTTTAACAAACAAACAAACACACACACACACACACACACACACACAAATATATATATATATAATTGTTTGTCTTTTAAACAGCGGGGCGCGGGGATAATGTCACGCTTTGCGTTATCTTTTCGTCCTTTGTTTTGTTCTTCTTTGTCTGTCTTCCTGTTGTTGCTTGTATGTGCATGGCTTATTAACATATGAAAACTTTATTATTTCAGCTTAAAGAAATCACACTTGCAAGCTTGCGATGGTTGTAACTGTCAATAATTAATATCTATTGCTTTTTGGTGAACACATCTTATAAGGATTGTATTTTCTTTTCATTTAAAGTCATTATTTTTTATCGCATTAAGATAAAATAACAATTTGGAAAGTTGCCAATGAATTATTTAACTGTTTTTATTTATCTGTACTAAATTATGGGATATCTATCCATTTATTTATACTGAAGCTTAACTCATTCTTGATAAAAATTACTTTTGTCAATCCTGGAATTTACGTTTATTTGAATAAATATTTTTCATCTTTTTGTCCGTTTTCCTCCCCAAATTTTATACAATACTTACATATTACTTCTTGATTTAAGAAAGTATTTTTTCCAAATAAATCTTGATAGTTTCAAGTTTTAAAAAAATCAAAATGACACATATTGATAAAACTGGATAGAGCAGAGAATAAACAAAATTCGGCATTTTGTCGTGTGAAATGGTTACAATTTATCGGTGAATTCAGATCCTGGCGAATCGATTATCTCACGAAAATATAATTTTTGATGGAACTCTAACCAGGAAGATTAATGGTGCATTTCATTTCCTCTTGCAATGAAGATGGCAAGGCATTTGGAATGAATGTATGCATGCATGATTATTCTTAATGACATCTACGATAAACAAGATGTGTGTCAACTATGTAGAATTAAAAAGACCGACAGCTATTTTTGAAATGTGATGATTCGCTGATTACCATAGATTTGAATGCTAAGTAACATTTATAAAGCGAATACTAATGTAATTCAGATAATTATCCATCTGTATTTAAAAAAAAAATATGTTCATATGTTCGTGAAAGTTTGAAGTTTATTGAAAATTTTGTTTACAAATAAAAATGATTTACTTATTTCATATACCTTGCATTTTGTTGCTCTGTTTTAAAGCTGTTCACCCAGAATGAACCGTGCAAGCTGCAAAGGGATGGTTACTGTGATAATAACGACGGCAATTTTACTGGTGTTGTGGAACCGTCCTTCTTCACCGTCTGTTCCGGTAAAAGACAAGAACACTCTTAATGAAGGACTTGTAAGTATATATAGTACCTTTAAGTGTTCTGTTCCTAAGCATGCCATTTGTAATATTTGCTTATCAGGTGTATTATATGTTTTACAACAAGGTCAGGTGTAGGTTTATTACAGACAAAACAATAACATTGGGTAATGTAATAGCATAACTCAACTGCACTATATGTGTTTCAAAGGAGACTAGGTTGGAGCTGATAATATCTCACTTGGCCTTTCGAACGTACACTTATTCATTTACATTGTATTCTTCTCGATATTGCCATAGCTGGCTATCACTTGGCTGGTTTGACCAGTATTTACATGGCGGATGTCGTCGATGAAGCAGAACATGATTAGTCTTCCGGAACATCCGGGATTATTAATAACTTTTTACTTTTCAGGAGTCTGTTCGAATAAATTATCTAGGAAAAAACAAGATAATTATCGTCATGAGTGTTGAAAACAACATGCCCAAAATTTTGATAAATGACCATAGGTAGGCTGGGGTAATGCACAACCTAGTACGTTGAAATGGATGACACTCTCGCCCTGTTTTAACCCCTTAACTCCCTGGATTTTTTAAAAATGAAATTGAAGAAAATCTGCCATTTTGTTTCACCAATTGTCACCCTTTTGCAGCCAACATTTTGATAAGCAACCCCATATATATATAGAAACAAGCTTTTAAAAGAATAATCAGGTTTTATTAGTAATGATATTACCTTAGCAATTAGAATTTTGAATATTTGAAAAAAATCATGATTTGATGTAATTCGCAATTTTTTTATGATAGATGTGAATGAAAAAATATTTCTAAACTTCATAGTATTGTGAACCTAAGAATATGTATATGCCCTTTTTCAAATAGAGAAAATTTCATTTCTCTCTGCCCAAATTTCACTACCTAAGAAAAGGTATAACAAAATTAGTAGTTTAGTCAACCACCAGAATATTTAATAGGAATCCGAGTAAAAGCTTCTTTGTTAAAATATCAGAGCAATCGATTTCTTTGTGTATTTCAAAATTGCCATTTCAAATAAAATTTGAAATTGTTTAAAAAGTTTTATTCTGATGTAAACTAGTCCAGCTATTTCACTCGTGTTTCCAAAATAATAACAAATCCCGTGCATACATATGTACAATTTCTAGTATATATTATTATTCCAATCAAGGTACAACTATTGTACTATTTTTGCTATGATAAAAAATCACTTCACACCCACACAATCATTTCCATACCTAGACATATATACTCAACCAGTACTCACAATTCAGTTGTACATTGACATAAAATTCATCTAAACCTGAAGTCTTTATAGTAGGCTCCTTTTTTCATCTATCGTTGTTTGAATATCTTTTAATACCGTTATCTATCTCATGCGAACAAAATGACATATTTCTGGTAAAATGACTGTTTACATGGCGTATAAAAAGACAGAAAGTTGCACTATGATCGTAATCGCACATGTTCTTGCTGCTATACACGACGTCAACTTACTGTGATGTTTATTCATGAACAAGGGGACTGTTTTTGTGAACTTTTTTTCGGTGTTTTCTGCATGGAAATAATTCAATAAGTAGTTTTATGCAATATCATTCGAATCGGCCGAAGGTGTGTAGTATAGGCTGACACGAGGCTGCTTGAATAGTATCGGATACATTTTATACGTCAAATCAAATTATTTGCAGCGAATTAAGTCAAAGTGATGAAACATGCATAAGATTTAGGATATTAGGTTGGAAATATAAAATATCCTGTTCTTTATTGACATGAATGTGGAATACAAAATAATACAGAATAAACATTTACGTACAACATGCACACGACGCCATCAATCCAAGATGTTCGGGAAAAAAATGCTTTGTATTTTCAACTCGCAAAAAACATAAGAAATATTTACTAAATAAAAGTAAACAAAGGTAAGGTGGATATGGCAATGTCACAATGCGTAGAAAATCGTAGTTGTGTGTTAAGGGGTCAAGGCCACTGGGGTCAATGTGTAAAATAGCTGGTGAACTTATCTAATAGCAAAATGTTCAAGGGATGTTTTAGGTCTACAGTGACAAGAATGTTTTGTTCGCTTGGATTATTTCCCTGTTAACAACTACGCTAATTCTTAAATGGGTCACCTTGTAGTAGCTGTTGTTTGGCTTAAACATAAGTGAATGACATTCGGAAGGTGCGTCATCCATAGAATAAATGGAAAATTATCATACCAATAGACATACACACAAGTATTACTGCAGCAAATGCTGAATCGATTTCATAGTAATGTAGACTCAAACCAAAAACCTTGCCAGTAAGGAAATCATTTTTGCAATTTTCAATGCATTTCCAGAACAAAAACCCATAACATGATCTTACGTTTATTATGAAATCGTGTAATCAAATACATGATTTCTTTGTAGGATAAAACTATTATAAAGGAAGCAGATACAAACATGATGAATTCAACAAAAAAGTTTGTCTACAACTTTGATACGGACTTTTATCTACTACCAACCAAAGCCGAGATGTTTGAAATGACGATGGAGGACTTGGAAAAACTTTATCAAATGTGAGTTCTCCCTCTGCTGAACTTTCATTCATGTGTTTATTACATTAAATGAGTTAATAATTGATTTTATTTTTCAAAAATAGTTCGCCAATGTATGACGCTTACGTCTCTTGAACAGTCAGTAAGGGTGTCGTCCTTGTTTGTTTCATTGAAAATCAAATGCTACAGGTAACGAGCACACTTAAAATGCTTATTAACTCTGTGTCGTGCACTAGATATGGAGTCTCTTCATTACTCCCAAATTCTGACAGAACATTGATTATAAAACCATTAGGATGAAGCTTCCTGTTCTGTAATTCATAGTGTCGATGTTGATTGGACCCAAACAAACTTACAAAACAGTTACAAAACAAATTTAAAAACAGACAGACAGACCAAAACAACAAGAAAATACCAGCATGTCAACAGAATAAAAATCCAAACTCACATTCCATTAAACTAGGGCAAAAAATGATCAAAATATTTACACTGAGACTTCTGAACAAGTACAAGGAGAATAAGTCAAACTATCCCGGAAGAATCCAGGTTAGTTGTGTCACGTTCCCATATGAGACGCTAATTTACAACAAGAGAGTAAACAAACAAACTGACGAGGATCAAACGCATCAAGAAACAGAGAAATAGAATATTTCCCAAGGAGATCACAATGACGACAGTTAAACTTTCCTATCATTTTCCTCAACGTGCATCTTCTGTAAAACTGTGTTGTTAGTTTGTCAATTGTAATTATCTTGTGTGAAAGTCGAGATATCGGGAACATGCTTTAAAGAATACACTAAGATATATAACATCTTCTACAAACATCAGTGAAAAATATTCGAAGTTATGCTTCGGATAAGTGATGCTTACATCATATTTTCGGCGGCCAACGCTTCTTTTAGTTGTCACATTAAAGAAAATATATGCTATTTACTCAATCCGTGTAATTTCAATTAAGTTTGCAATCTCTTACACTTAACACTTCAGTTGGATATTATGATACTTGCACTATTGTCTATCATAATGACTAGTAACTTGAACGAGTTATCTTGTTATTATTAGGTAGTGCTTACTCGCGTCGTGCTAAATAGTATTCAAGCTTGTTTTAAATTGTACAAATCGTCCCCTTCCGGGCACTTTCGTTCTTTTCTAATGAAATTTTTATGTCTTTATATAATGTTCATGTATACAATATTCTGTGTAGACAACTTGGTATATGGTCATCTCTAAATCTGGTTTCATGTTTGTTCAATGTCAAATAGACAGTAGCTATATTCATAAATGTGATACAAAACTGGAATACAACAAGCATTGAGCATCAATTGTTTAATTCATAACAAGAGAAATCTTAATTGATAGGTACCTAAACACAATCCAGATGATCTGCCGTAGACCTATCCGACTCGGGAACAGGAATGATGGAGGATGGGATCTGTGTGCTGATAAACAATTTCTGACACCTGGAAAATGTCTTGTATACTCGTTTGGGTAAGGATCACGTAAACAGTTAACTTTCATACTAATATCCACATATACTATAGAAGTGGAAGTAATCATATCTCAATTTTTACAATCTAAGAAAAATATGCGATTGTTCTATAAATGAATATAGAATCGAAAAACAAAGTAATAAACAAATCAGATTTGATAATTCAAGATAGCATCAATTCAGATATGTGCTAGTTATCTCCCTTATCATATTCCAATATATTGTATTAAATATTGTCGTGATTATAATCAAAATTAAATAAACAGATGTAATTAAGATATATCTTTTCTCATGTACGTTTTATACACTCTTGCAAACGAAGTTAAACCTGATGTCTGTTATTTCACAATACTGGACTAGACGGGGTCAACACAATTCACATCATGGATATCACGTTGAGATGACTGATCGCTTTAAGATTGCACTCGATATTATAATTGTAAACAGAATGTGTTAATGATTAAATACGAGATTTGTTGATTGTCAGTTTTTCTTTAAATATGTTTTCCATTGTGACTTCAAAATGCGATTTCTACCTTTTCAGAATTAATTATGATTTCACATTTGATGATGAAGTGGCTGATGTGTTTAATTGTGAAGTCCATTCTTTTGATCCCAGGTAAGACTGATAATTTTTTTCTGTCGCGATTGAGCAATGGGGTCTAAAAATGGAATAAATTCTTACATGGGTACGAACCGTACAACTTGCTGAGTGTTTCGCAACTAACTATATATCCATGATGAGAATAGCATAGGAGGAAATTTAAGGGAAGCGTAAGTTTTGTTTTACTATTTTACGGATAACATCATCAGGACCTTGGGGTTTGTTAGTGGTAAGAAAGTTAATTTGATCGAAAACATTTTGTTCCATGATACAATTGTTTGTCAGTGTGTGGAATATATCGCGTGTATTGTCTGGGCTAATTTAAAGGCAGGTGATGGTGTAGAATTAGTAGTCAAGTCATTAGCAAGAAGCTCAGCTTTGTCAGTCAGATAATGGGTTATTTGGCCGTTTGCTTCAAGTGGCGAAATAGAACAGAATTTCTTAGAAAAATTGGTAAGATATTTTGAAATATTTTTGTCTTCTACCATTTGTCTTGAGTATTTGCATTATCATTAAGTAATTTATTTTCAAGTTTTAAGGTCGTCTGATTTCCTCTCAATTTTCACTGGTCCCACTGAGCTCAAACTTGCATGAAATGATCCTAAGATGGTCCTGACCAAGTGCAGTTATTTTTTCGGGTTTGTCTGATATTCAAAATGGCCGCCATCTTGAAAAAACATATTTTAAACATCTTCTCCAGTTTCACTGGGGCCATTGACCTAAACAATGGTGGGGATATTAAGAAAGGTAGCCAACGAAGTGTTGTTATTTCTCAACGTTGTCAAAGCTTCGATACGACAGCCAGAGAGGCCTTTTTGTAACATGATTGCGCAATCATGGTTTTCCAGTGGAACACCTATTCCAAACTTCTTCTCAAGTTTCACCAGTTGGATTGAACTCCAACTTTACTGTCAAAAAGTGGGCAACATTTGTTATAATTTTCTTCTCACCAAAACTACTATCTGCATCATTGAAAACAGCTTCTTAATAAGATTTCATTCAAAATAGAAAAAAATAACACTTCTCCCTGCTAAAAGGTTTGGAAGTCTGATGACGTTAAGGCCCGTTCATTTTTATATATTGTTTGCTTTTGCCCTCTTGGATATGATCAATACCTTCATTTGGTACGGTTCAAGATAGTTCCCAATAACGAGGAGTATTAGTTAGTTTGGCTTTTCTGTGAATTATATTTCATTGTCTCATTTTTTTTGGACGGGTTGCGCAGCTGAAAGCTTGTTTAGCAATTGTTGTGAAATAACTTTATATATAAAGTGTATATTTCATCACATTTGTAGGAGTGAACCTATTGACCTGTTATGGGATTGCATTTACGACAGTGTTTTAGTAGTTTTAGAATCCTAATTAAAAAACGAATGGATCAAATATATTTCCGAAAAAAACGTTCATTATATTGAAATCTGATATTTCATACTTTTATTAGATTTTCATTGTTTATTGAAATTGAATCATGTTGAATGGCCATTACAAAATGGTGGAGATACACGAGCATATTTTTTTTTATAAAGTTTTGGCTCATATTTGAAATAACATCAATGGGACCTGGCACCACCGTTAGTCGCTTTTCATTTATAAGACTAAGTGAATCATTTAAAAGGGAGTCTTATTTTTGTTTCCTTCGTGGTCTCTATATATAGACTGTTAGCAGCACTGATGTGTCTTTCATGTACGAAACAGCTGCATGATGTAGTTAAGTTTGACTGTATCGTATCAGACTCCAACTTGGTATGTTTTATACAATCTTCTGCAAATAGAAAGAAAAAACAACATTTGTTTTGTTCCCTGGCTCGTGGCTGACAATCACGCACCATGTTGTTTGGACATTCCTATAGCGAAATTCTGTACAAATTGAATTAATTAGAGTCGAGCCAGATGAGAAATTCAGGTGCTTTGCTTTTACAGTATGGCAATGAAAAGCAAAAAGAGGAGATCTAAACCACCTGTGTACTTCCACGACATCGGTATTGCTAGAAAGTCTGGTACAATAAAAACAGACAAAGAATGGAAAATGTTAAACCTGAAGGATGTGATGGCAAAACTAGGTCATGAACGTGTAAGTACTTGTGAATATATATCATTCACACTCATCCTCACATTTATTACACATGTACATATAATTTCCATAGTATCATGCACATAACAGTAATGTTTTTATGAATGTCATTGACTATACTATCAGCACTATTATGATATTAAGATTGTTATGTGTATTTGTTTAGCAGATCTTTTTTTCATAAAACAGCAAAAGCAAGACATAGATACATTTGAAATTATTTGAATTAAGAAGATTTTTTTTCCAATTTTGCTGACTTGTATTTCATGCCTTTCATTGAGATTGTATTAATTATAAACATATATATGTAGTTAAAGCAAAATCACATTAATTCAATTTAATTAAAAAAGTAATTATTAATTTAATGCCATTTTTCAGATTCCAGATGTTATTAAGTTAGACATTGAATTCTGGGAATGGGACGTCTTACCCGATATTCTGAGATCTAGACAACTGCCCAAACAACTTGCAATAGAGTTTCATCTTTGGAGTGCAGCGTATGCTAATAGTAAAACGTTCTACCTTGATCGCTTGTTGATCCTCAAAGAAATATATGATTCTGGTTATAGGAATTTCTGGCAGAACAGAAACTTACAATGCACATTCAAATCAAGTATAACTTCAAATAACATATATGGTTGCCTGGAAGTTGCTTACGTAAGAATTGAGAAGGACATTAGAGTATAGAAGATTTATGACGAAAATAAAAGGAATAAATGTGCTTGCTACACAATAATCGGCAAAAGAGCGAAGGGAACAGTCGCATGCCAAAGACAGAAAATATTTACACTCGGAAAGCAACACAACAGATGGAGAAATCTTATGACTGAGATGAAATGCAGAACTGACGAGCAGCTAGCGTGTCTTGTTTTGGATCGTTTACAAGTTTTTCAGGCCAGACTCCTGGCTACATTCAATCGACAAGCTGAGACTTGAATTGTTAATTAGCATGATTATTATCGTATGAAAATCATATCAATCTGCTCAACGACATGAAAATGGACAAATTTCTGGAAAAAAACTTGACAAATCGCTCCGTGAAATCTGACCGTGAACCGCATCACTTTTTGATGAAATATTAAGGCGCAATAAACTGCGTTCTGTTTCAAGTGAACGAAAAAATCAGATACTGTAATTATGAAAAATGTGCGAGTATGCAGTAATTATGAAAAAATATGCGAGTATGCAATTTTATATCCATAATGAAGTTAAAGTCGGATATAATATATTTCATACAATTGCTGTTCATGATGACATGAGGAACTATATCATTACGGCTGTTCTCGGATGATTATTTTGCTTTATTGTATCTAACATTCTAAACTTGTAATAAAGGTGCAAATCACTTGTGTCTTTTGTATTATCTTATATGACTTGAACTATAATGATGGTAAATTCGATCATTCTGTGGAAGGATGTCACATAGATAGAGATCGGCAGGCTAATGTTACACGTATTATCAAATAACCAGGAATAACATCGGAGATATTGATGTGTACGGTATATCTAATATGTACATTAAGTGATATTAATATATTCTTTCATATTATGATTGCTTCCCTTTCAGAAAAATGATCCACGTTTACACACAATTTATTTCCCTCTACCCAAACAGTCTTCAAACCAGATTGGACAAAACCAAATCATTCCTACAGGAGGAGTAGAACTTAAAATAATTTCCTCTATTTCCCCTATTGGGCAATGCTCATCTCGTTCGAAGAGACCGATACCGACCGGGTATATAAAGTTGATTCATCTTTTAAAAAAATTATTAAGACCAAATTTGTACAAAAAATAATAATCTCTTCAAACACAAAGTCAATAAAACTATGGTTAAATATGAACAAAAAAAGTACAATTTGCAAAATTACAAGATGACTAAGATCAGGTGTTCTGGAATAGTAAGCATCTTCTGCTTCATCGACGACACTCGCCATTGATATCGTAGCCAGTTTAAGAAAGTAATGTCACGTTCTCAAATGAACAAGGTATACAACAACGGATCCAAAGATTTAATGTAGAGACACTTGACGGTGATCTAGTTAAGTTTAAACATATTTTATTGCCGTTAAGCGAAAGTATTTGGCACAAGTTACAATAACATTATTAAAGCCCTTTCCTTTAGAAGAAAAACAATTGCACAAAAGAAGTACAATTTGAAAAATTACAAGATGTTTAAGATCAGGGCCCGTATTCACGAAACCGTTCTCATGCTCAAACTCAAGTTTTTGTGCTCAAAATTCAGGTTTTGTTCTCACCTATTTTATTCTCGTGCTCAAGTCGTATTCGCGAAAAATGTTGTGCTCAACTCTTGAGCACGTTCTCAATTGTGCTTGAGCATGCTCAGGATATCATTCTCATCATGGCGGCAGCAGGTTTCGTGCAGAGAGCAATACGCGTAAGAATGATTCCAAGGCCAAGAGTATGTTCTGATAGGCAGAAACCTCTTGAAAGTCTCTCCGAAGACGAGGTTTTCTGGCGATACCGATTCCGTCCAGCAACCATTATCTTCGTTGTTGATTTACTTCATGAAACTATCACTCGCAGGACGCGATGGAGTCTGGCCATCCCATCACCATTGCAAGTATTAATTGCATTGAGATTTTTGACTACTGTCGCCTTTCAACAACTTGTTGGTGATTCCATCAAAATTTCCCAGCCAACAGTGAGCAGGGTTGTTCGGCAAGTGATCAGGGCACTCGCCCGACTGGTCGGGAATTTTGTAACATTTCCAATTGGTGTGACCGCAGCAACAACTAAACGAGAGTTTGGAGCTATTGCTGGTAAGTTTATACACGAAAAAAAAACTTACTTCGTGAACAAAATAGCCATGCAGCTGATATAATTAATAAGTGTTTCTCAAAATTACATCTCGTCCAACCTAAAACGTTAGCGGAACTGATGTCACCTGTGACGTGTGTTATGCTGATGAGATGACATCATTCGATGTACAAACAAGTATCAACATGAACATCAAAAAAAGCTGACAATACTTTTGAAAACAAATCAATTTATCTTTAATATCGGAACATTTTGTGTAGATGGGAAATTTCTATTCATTTCAAGTAAATTTGTTTAGCTTCTTTATTAATATATATTAGTTCGTCATGTTCTCATTTCATTCTGTTTTGTTGCATTTTTCAGAATGATATGAAATCCATATCCATATCCTGCTTTCACGCATATAGAAAGAAACAGAAGATATACCAAAGTGATCCAAAATCTAATCTCGTTAACACTATCAAATAATTTAGTGTTGTTTTATATGATTACTGACCAACTTAATACATTCACATTGCTAGGTTTTCATGGATAAAATGAGAGCAAAATATTATGCTTTATATTTGAATACATATACAATATTCAGTATCCAGAAATATTGCATATCTTTTTATATTTATTTTATATTACAAGATATTTTACATAATAACATGATACACACTCTCATCCATGCATACATTTTCATACATTCATGCACACATACATGTAACGATTTTTTATCACCATCATTCTTACATGTATTTATCATCAGTAGCATCATCATCGCCATCATCATCATCCATTTCTTCCAACCATTTACAAATTTCTCTTTGGCTATTTCCCCTTTACTGTTAGAAATGTACTTTTGAACTTTATAATGGCCAAATATAGTTAAAAAAAAAATGCTGGGATTTTTACTATTTTTTTAATGAGAGCAAAATATATCATGAATAAAGCTGGTATTGTTTCCTCCTAGGATTTCCTAATGTTTTAGGCTGTATAGATGGAACCTTCCTCAAAATAGGGAAACCATCAGTTAACAAAGCAGACTTCCTAAACAGGAAAGGATATCACTCCTTGAATATGCAGGTAAATTACTTATTTGCATGTTATTATTCGATTGATTTCTTGAATAAATATTTCCAATATTTTTATAACTATACAACACACAGCGTGGGTTTATCACTACATCAATGATTGAAAAAAAATGTTTTATTTTATTGATAGAAAATTAGGCATTTTAAATTTGTTTTATAACTTCAGCCTAACTTTCCTTCAAATGACCATCATCATTTCAACGTTTTATTATTAGAATGGAAAACAAATGTTACTTTATATGAAATGTGTTACTTTTCTTCCTCGTACTGTACATATGTTGTATCTTTTACTATAATAGGCAATCTGTGATGCCCACGTGAGAATCACAAGCTTTAATGCTTCATGGCCAGGCAGTGTACATGACTCAAGGATTTGGAATGCTTCTGCTTTGAAGGACCAGTTTGATAATGGTAATAAATAAATGTGATCCCAATGTGTTGGTTCAGGTTCACATACAAATAAATATGCTGTCAGATTCTTACAGGGTAATGATATGTACGTTTATGACAGGCATTATGATAGTGTAAATACTATCATGTTTTTTTCCATGATTTTTTTCATGTTTTTCAATATACTTCCCACATCAAAGATGATGAAAAACTCATTTACCAAATTGATATTTGATATTTTTTTTCTGAAAAGCTATCAATATCACTATACAAAATCATAATAATAATAATGTAATTGAAGGTTTGAAATGTTTAAAACTTATCAATAAAACCAATAAGGACAAGATATATATGTTTGAGGCTAAACTCAACTTTTTTTCAATTTCAAATGTCACATGCATACCACTAGTAACCTTGATTCTATTGGTCACTTGTGTTGTAATGCCATACATACATGTATAATGATCCAAATTAAACTATACATATATGATACATTTCAGTTATCATTACTTTGTAATTGCATTCAGGATTAAATGATGGTCTCCTGCTAGGCGACTCTGATAACACCGTATTTGCATCCAGCGGACAGAACCCAGGAACGATTTAACAGAAGTCTTTGCACGTGTTTTAATAGAACAAACATTTGGTGCGTTTTCCATGTCTAAGATTTGGCCTGAGGGTGTCACCAGAGATGGCGGTTAGTACTACTTCTGCTTGTGTTGTGCTTCACAACATTGGTATCCTCAGGTTGGATATAATGAAAGTGGAGCTTGATCATGAAAATCAACTCCACATTCAAAACCAGCAGATTCTGGCACAACCTGATGGAAAACATGTTCGTGATCACATAGCAAGACAGTATTTTAGTATCTAAATAATGAATACACAAGACAAGAAAAGCAATAATAAACATTTAATGACAAATTCACAGTTGAGTAGATACCTGGCAATAACAACCACAAAACAAATGACAATTTCTTCAGGAGGTCACGCGTTAAGTATAGTAGATACCTGGCATTAGCAACAACAAACTTTAAATGACGATTTCTGCAAGAGGTCATACTTGAAGTATAACAGATATCTGACAATAGCAATAACAAACTTTAAATGACAATTTCTTCAGGAGGTCACACTGGGGTAGCAGTAAACAGTTAATTTGCATTTTTCCTGAAATTATTTGTCATGTTTGAGATATACAGGTATAGCAGATTGGTTATGAAAAAATACATCATTACATGTATATATATTTATAAACTACATAACAATTACATTAAATGTAGAGAGATGAAATTTGTGTAAAAAAAAAAATTTTTCCTCTGATTTCTAACATTTGATTGTCATGGTTACCTACTGAAAAAATGCTAAAAATGCAAAAATACTGCTAATTTCAACCCAACACTACAACTTTCTAGGAGAAATTAAATTCCAAACACCTATCTT